ATGATGACTTTCAAAGGCACACCCCAAATCCATATGAACTGTAATTTCACTTTGTCAAGTGGTGTGGATATTTTAAAATATCATTTTCCATGTTCCTTCCACCCCCAATTTGTATCGAATGTTAGTATTTCAGGTTTGATAGCATTCACTGTGGGCATATATATATATTCACTAAACGGAATGTCACCAGGAAGCCCCCAGAAGTTTGTCGTGTGACCTGAGACCATTTACTGTTGGATTTGCCTGGCTGACGGTGTACAATTCAGCTCCATTGTAACTTCTACAATGAGGATCTCTATGGCTCCCACTTCTAAACTACTTTGATATATGTCCCTGGAATACTTGGCAATCTTCAAGGTCTAGAGTTGCTGTTCCACTCCATAGCAAGCCTTGAGAAGTTAAATGGTTACGAATTACATACAGGATCACAGTTAAATTTGATTTTAAAAATCCTCCAGGGAGGGCAGTTCTAGTCGTACTCTCTGGGCCAATGAAATGTTATTTGTTCTTAATCTAAGAAATGTGTTTGTTTCAAAGCTGTTGAAGTGCTATGGGCGGTGGAATAGAACTGAGAAGAGATTAGGGACTTAGCGGCCTGATATTTCTGGGTCAAATGGGGGCTCCTTTTCTTCCGAGTCCTGTAAATTTGGGCACATTAATTAATCTATTTGAGATGGTGGTAATATAAATGGGCCTTTGAGGGTTACTGTGAATACGTGTTAATGTAAGCAAAACACATAATTCAGAGCATAGCACTGTACATATGAAGTATCATTACAACGCTGTTGTAGAAACTCTGATCTTTTTTTATTTTAATTTTTTTTAAATTGATTTTGAGAGAGAGAGAAGGCAGAAGGAGAGCGATAGCAGCACTGATGAGAGACAAACATCAACTGGCTGCCTCCTGCATGCCCCCTACTGGGGATTGAGCCTGCAACCCGGTATGTGCCCTGATCAGAAATCGAACCAGTAACCTCTTGATTCATAGGTTGATGACACTCAGCCACACTTCGGTCTTTGACTCATTAAGCATAGGTGCAATGTCAATCGATTACTTTATTAATGATTGCTGTCTTCCACCCACGCCCTCCTTTACATAAGCAGATTAACTCTTAGTGGTGATAGACAAGAGGCTGTAAGATAGGAGGAATGCCCATGGGTGTGAATTTAGGGATGGCAACCACTGCAGTTTGATACAAAGAACGTGGCCCATTTATAATGGAAAGTTTAAAGGGTTTGGGGGAAATCTAGAATTAGGAAGTCAAAATGCAAATTTGTGATTTATTTTCATTACATTTTTGCAAAACTCAGTATTATGAACCAAAGATTAAGCCACATAAATAATCCTTTGGCCCTAGCTGGTTTGGCTCAGTGGATAGAGCATCAGCCTGCAGAGTGTCGTCAACCTATGAACCAAGAGGTTACTGGTTCGATTTCTGGTCAGGGCACATACCGGTTTGATTCCGGTCAAGGGTACATTGCAGGCTGAATCCCCAATTGGGGGTGTGCAGGAGGCAGCCAATCAGTGATTCTCTCTCATTGATGTTTCTATCTTTCTCTCCCTCTTCTTTCATCTCTAAAATCAATAAAAATATATTAAAAATAAAATAAAAATAACCCTAAGTCCTTTTTCACATAGCTTTTAAACATGTTCCTTTGTCTAAATCCCATAAGTTTTGTTATTGTATACAATTGCTGTTGAAATGACAGTGAGTTAAAATTTAGGAGTGAGTAGTCCTAAAGTAAATAATTAATTTGTTTTAAATTCCAGATTGGGACCGGAAATTGGGCACAGTTTTATCGAATCGTCGACCAATCAACTCACTGCCAGAGTTCTACTGTTGTAAAGAGAGGTGGCACTGAAATAAAAGCTTTAAACCAAAATAGCTATGGCGTTTGAAAACAATAATATTTGGCTTTCTTAGGTGACTCTTTTAGACTAAAACCATGATAACAGACCTACTTTTTCTTTTTAATACATTTTTATTGATTTCAGAGAGGAAAGGAGAGGGAGAGAGAGATAGAAACACCAATGATGAGAGAATCATTGATTGGCTGCCTCCTGATGGGGAATTGAACCATGACGTCCTGGTTTATAGGTTGAAGCTCAACCACTGAGCCACGCTGGCAGGGGAGAACTACTTTTAATTCCCGTGTGTATCCCAATGGTTAGAGTCCTAAAATATTTACATGTTGCAAGTTCTTTCCAGACCAATTTGGTCATCCCCGGGCAGGGAATCAATACCCAGCCCCACTACCAATCTTGCGGCTGGTGCTGGTGAGCTGTCTTACATTTGGTCCAGTGGTTCCACGTGGGGCCAGGTAGGAAGATAATCGCATCCGCTCAATAACTGCATCATTGAGAAGGAAAAAAGAACTGGGGATGAGGACAAGGAGGGAGGCCATGGAGGTGGTTGGGATGCAGAAACCCAGGTAAGGCACAGGACTGTAGTGAGATGTGAGATGGGGAAAGGGAGAGGGAGGAGAACTGTGAGCAGAGTTACCATTCCTGCCCTAGCCGGTTTGGCTCAGAGATAGAGTGTCAGCCTGTGGACCTCAGACCTCGGGTTCCATTCCGGCCAAGGGCACATGTCCTGGTTGCAGGCTTGATCCCCAGTAGGGGGTGTGCTGGAGGCAGCCAATGACTCTCTCATTGATGTTTCTATCTTTCTCTCCCTCTCCCTTCCTCTCTGAAATCAACGAGCATATATATAATAACAAAAGCATAATATGCTAATTAGATCAAATGTCCTTCCAGACGTCCTTCCGGAGGGAAGCCCACGTCCTGGGTGCCAGAGGGAAGCAGCAAGGGAAGGAAGATCTACTCTTGCATGAATTTCGTGCACCGGGCCTTTAGTATTTAAAATAAGAGTCACCACTCCTATCCTCGGAAGAAAGTTGACAACTAGGCATCAAGTCCCCAGGCCAAGAGCTAGAGGTTCTTCTCTAAGCAATTAAACTCCAAAGTAAAGACTCCTACCTCCTGGCCCCTGAGACTCCCTAATTGGTTCCCAACTCAATACCCCAAAGTGAAGCCTACCAGTCAAAAGCTTCCCCCAAGAACAGACTCATGTAGCTTTGCATTGTCTCAGTCTCAGTTGTAAAGAGCCAACCAAGGGTCACTGGAGTTTAAAAAAAAAAAAAAAAAAGAGTAACACTTTTTGGGTTAAAATTTAGTACACTCCTGACTCAAAGATGGGTCATTTCTGTCTGCTTCTGGACCACTGCTGAAAATGTTTCAATACGGCAATGCTTGCAGCCAGATAAAAATGTGCCCGGTCAGTGTGGTTCAGTGGTCGAGTGTTATCCTATGAACCAGGTGGTCACTGTTCAACTCCCAGTCAGGGCACATGCCAGGTTACAGGCTCCATTCCATGCAAGAGGCAACCGATCAATGATTCTCTCTCATATTTGTTATTTCTATCTTTCCTTCTCCTGTCCTCTCTGAAATCAATAAAAATATATTTAAACTAACAAAAAACATGCTTACTTCTAATGGAGCTTACATCTCTGGGCAGCTAATCTAAAGTCCAAGTAGGAAGATGAAAAAAGCAAGAATAAATAAAAGCCAAGTCAACTTCCATTAGAATAAGTAAACTTTAGTTATTATGTACCAAGTATAAATTATTATTTTATATAAAGATCATTACTGATCAGCAGTGGGCTTTGTAAGATTATCTGTACTATCCTTCTTATTTATTAAATCCAACAAGGCTGCTCTTATTTTAATACTTTTCCTGAACTAAGTATTAATAAAAAATATATCTAGTGAAGATAAATTGTATTTAAGTGTTTTCAAAGATTTTGTCTTGCTCTCTCCCCATCTTATCCCCCCACACAGCAGGGATAAAGCTCCTTCTTATATACACTAATATTACCACAACTTCTCTTGCCGAAACAAAAACACAATACAAGTATACTAGAAATGTCTGGTTCCTTTTAATCATCTATTGATGGAATAATAAAATAAATTTAAGTGGCACCTAACTTAACATTCAAGATAGTTCACTGAAGGATAATCTACAACACAATGTGTGAAGCCTAATGCTTAAAATAACACCTCTTTTTTTATTTTTTTTCCCCCAAAAAAGAGAAATAAAGGCATGACCAACAATTTGGGTTCATTTGGACACTCACAGATGATTTTGTAAGCATACTGGCAGGCACAACGTTGAAAAAACAATGCACTAAATTAAAAAATAATGGTAAGATAAAACAGGAAACCAATTCATTCCAGATTTAATATCTGATATTAAAAGAAAATATTCACCAAATATCACAATAGATCTTTTAATGACTATTTTTTAACATTAAGAGTACTGTATTAGTGAACACCTTATCTCTTTGAACATTTGTCCAATGTATTAAATAATTTATAGAGAGAAATAAGTTTTGTGTTCTGTACAAATTAAAGGACCCATGAATATATCACCCTCCCCCCCGCCAAAGCTCGAAATCGCAATGGTCTTAGCAGAAAATAAGCAGTTCACAATTTAAACAGAATTCATAGCATTACAAAAGTTTACAGAACTCCTCTCTTATCCTTTTTTGTTCTAACAGCAAAGGTTACAATGACAGAACTGAAAAATCAGAATGTAAAAATATTTGTGCAAAACTGCATTAATTGTTCTTACTATTTAATAGAGGTAAACCTATCAACACACAAGGACAATAATAAAGAAAAACGACGTCGAAAGTCATTCTAGTTTGGGTTTCAGACAACCTGGATTACACTATGACTAAACACGGAAGAAAACGTGGCACCATGAGCAGCAGGAGCAACAGATGATTTCGGCAATTGTGCCAGCCGAGGCAGCTGACACTGGAATATGCCGAAGCTTACCTCCACGCCAGCCATCCACCTTACAGACTGGAAACAGCCATAGGGCTTACAATGCACGTCAATGTTTTTATTCTTGAAGTTTGTAGATCATAATGACAAAGTGAAGCAAGTCCTTTGTCCCCTTCCCAAGGAGTGTTTCTTGGGAGACTGGAAATCCTTAGAAGAGTTGAATCATGGACTCTCTGGACTTCCCTACACCAATCCACTTAACTGAGAGAGGAAAATAAAGTTTAAGAATTGTATTAATTCGTTTATAATGTTGAATCTTTGGAATAAGAGACTCCCCTTCTTTCCTCCACCCCCACCCCAGTTTTCTCATTGTCACCACATAACTTTGCCCTAAGTGCCTTTCGTTCCCTTTTGTTCTGTTCTGTAGCAGATGGTGCCAATTTCTAAACCATTGGAGTGTGCAGGTGAGATCCAGCACAGAGTAGTTTGCTTTACCAGTTCCTGTTTTAATGCACAGTATTTACAATCCTCACTTCCTAAGAATTAGGATAAAAAATATTGGCCCAAACCAGCAGAGACCTAAAGAACCTTTGGTTAAGTTCCTAATAACTAGAAAAGATAAGCCCCTTTGATGAATGGATGATGCTAAGATGATACTGAGGCGGCACAGTACCTTTTGTATCTCATACGAGTAGAACTTTCCGGAAGAGAACACTGTGTTAACTTGCACGGCCTTAGGACTTGCCTACTGTACCAGCCTATGGGCATCTCTGATCATCTGCACCTCCTGGTGCATAACCACTGTTAAATTCATTGTTTATATTTCAAGCAATGTTGACTAAAGGGTGAGTTGACTGAATTTGACAAACTGGAAGGGGCAGGTAGCAATATAGAAAACATAATTCATGTTTGAGATGAAAAATCAGAATAGATTATACGGAGGTTACCTCCCCCCCCACTTTACTTTCTGTCTCTCAGATCCCATCAGTGCAAATAAAGGGGGAAAGCAATGTGGTAAAACAAAGACTTTACATAGCTAGTCACAGCCATAATGTGGTTATGCCTAATCCTCTGGCCAGTTGACTTTTTTTTATTCTTTTTTCTTCTCTTACATTTTATTCAAACTAGAGTTCCTATCTTCTGTATCTATTATTTTCTAATGTTTAGTCAGGAAACTCCTCCAATTCTCAATGGTGGGTTAACTCCAAATGAAAAAAATCACACATTGCCGAAACCCATTTGGCTCAGTGGATAGAGCATCCGTCTGTGGACTGAGGGGTCCCAGGTTCGATTCCAATCAAGGGCATGTACCTTGGTTGCGGGCACATTCCCAGTAGGGGGTGTGTAAGAGGCAGCTGGTCAATGTTTCTCTCTCATCAATGTTTCTAGCTCTCTATCCCTCTCTCTTCCTCTCTGTAAAAAAATCAATAAAATATATCTTTAAAAAAATAAATATATTTAAGAAAATGACAAACAAACAACAACAAAAAAAAAAAACACCACACTATTTTGGTGGTAATGAAGACACAAAAGGAGATGATTTAAGAGGGAGAAGGAAAGAAGAATCAATGTCATAGGGTGAAAAGCAGGCTAACAGAATTAAGACAGGATCAAAAATGGTGAGAGGAATAATTGTCTTCAGGCACATGAAGGATTAGAGAAAGATGGTTATATTTACTCTAAAGAATAAATTTCTTTCATTTCTTCCTGGGCATCTATACAAATCACAAGTGCTCTTATGAATAATAATCTTTTTTCCTATTTCAAAGGCAGACAGTCCAGTCAAAAGTAGAGAAAGCAAAGACAGTTGTTCGTAACTGTTTCTATTTACCTGGAATCTGAAGCTCATCTTCAATAAATCGGACGTAATTTTGTGCGTTCACAGGCAGCTCTTTGAACGTCCTTGCATTTGATATGTCTGTGTTCCATCCGGGGAGAGTCTTATATTGAACTTCAACTTTATTTAAGATCTCTTGGTTTGCTGCGAGTTAAAGAGCAAGTGTATTAGTTCATGCTGTACACAGCCTATTGTCCAAATTCTCATAAATTCATAATCTCTTATTAAAATCTTTGAAGCCAGGTGCACTTTGCAATTAGAAATGTTCAGAGTTTAGAAAGGAAAAACAGTGCATCCGGGGTGGAGTTTTATGACCAAGCATATTTCTACAGCAACACAGGATTATGCCCTGTAAGCAGATGGATTAGTGGTTTCAACACCAGGGTCTGTGGAATGTCCGCAGAGCTCCCGGAAAGAAGGCTGCCCTTGTTCTCATCCGGGAAGTCATTGCTTCTGTGACTGTGTGCCAAAGCTTAGGTGGGACTTCCTTCATTCGTCTCACCAACCTACTGTCTCTGCATCCCCTAGGACAGTGGTCGGCAAACTATGGCTCGTGATTAGTGAGTTTGCCGACCACTGCCCTAGGAGAAGCTGAAGCCAGACCAGTTCTTTGGACCAGAGATCGTACGGTGGATCCCGAACCATGTTCAATCCCCCTACGGCTGGCACAGGCATGCCTTCACGTGGGAGCACTGCCTGCACACAGCGTCCTGATCAGGATGCCACCTGGGATGCCTCCGCCGAAGCGAGCTGCCCACTTCCCAATGGCTTCCTGCGCGAGGATGCCCAGGACCAGGCCACCTACCTTAACCTGGGACAACCCTGAAGGGTCATCCATGGGACCAGCTGGGGGCTTTTTATGTAGCTACTTTGCAGTTCAACTTCCCCCTCTGCCTACGCCTGCTTCTCTCACTCTCTCCCAGACACTGCTGCTCAGAGCACTTACGAATAAACCACCTGCATGCAAAGTCTCTGTATCAAGTCTGTTTCCCAGGGAATGCAATGTAAGACAGTTGGTGCCGGGAGTGGAGTGAGGAAGAAGGCTCTAAAACGGGGTCCTGGAGCTGGACCATGGCCAGCTGGCTGGCAGGGAGGTCCATCAGTGGTGTCAGACAGAGCACGGGCAGTCTCTGGCATGTTGCAGTTATTAAAACTTTCATAAGAGGAGACTGGGAATGCCCTCCCTGCTGGTGCAGAGCACAGCGCTGGCAGTATCTGAAACACTGGGAAATAAGCACATGGGAACAATGGATCGGATGGCTCTCAATGAACTGGAGAAAGCAATGAAAGATTGTCTTTCATTGGCTTCAGGCAAGTGTGAAAGGCAGGGCCTCCGGCAGCAGATTCAGAGGAGAATCTCATCTCCCACAGCAGCGGGCAGGAAAGCTGAGGCTCAGGCGCAGGCCTCGGTCACACAGACAGCAGAGCTCCAGAGAAAGGTGAGTTCTCCAATCCAGCAAACCTGCTGTGACAAGGCCAGGGCCCTTGTTTTGGGGGAAACGGGACCCTGAGACTTTGGAGGGGACACCAAAGCTGATGCACGGAGAAACCCTGAGTCCCTAGATTTGCTGGTGGCCTGCAGAATGGCCTACTACTTCGTGGGCTCATCACGTAACTGCACCTCCAAAGCATAAGGCCAGGCTAAATAAGTTCAAGACGATCAGCCAGTAATTTAATTGTCCCCTAAAACAAGAGCCAATTCGCTTCAGAGGAAGATAACAGAATCTGAGTCTCTTAAATATATTCAGACATAGAAACAGTGATTCAGAGTCAAGGGAAAGAATAGCCAAGAGAAACCAAACTGTGGACGGCCCAGAGGTCGGACTAATAGACAATGACGTCACACATTTCAAAGAACTTGCAGGTAGCCTCAATTCCCATTGACTGGCCATTAGCAAGTCACAAAAACCTACCAGTTCACTGAGCTGGTCAATGTGCTTTCATTTGGCATATCCCCAGTCTACAGGATGGCTAAACAAATTACCAGTTCCTACTTTTGGAAGCTGGAAACATTTCCAGAGCTTCCTGAGTAACTGAGGAAATCATTTAACTAAAGGTAAGTCTGAAAAAACACATTTCCTCATGTAGAAAGTCTCCCTACAGCCATGCATGTTAGACACAGATTAGCGGTGAGAGAAATGTGGCTTGAAGGACAAGATGGCTTAATGTAGGAAGGACCTGCCGAGCCTGACAAGCAGGGCTCTTTCCTCCTACCCCACATTCGCAAGGGATGAAGGAATGCCTACATCGATTAAGAATGGTGAGACTCAGCCCTGGCCGGTTTGGCTCAATGGATAGAGCATTGGCCTGGGGACTGAAGGGTCCCAGGTTCGATTCCAGTCAAGGGCATGTACCTTGTTTGCGAGCACATCCCCAGTGGGGGGAAAGGGGAGTGTAGAAGGCAGCTGATCGATGCTTCTCTCTCATCGATATTTCTAACTCTCTATCCCTCTCCATTCCTCTCTGTAAAAAATCAATAAAAAAATATTTTAAAAAAAGAAGAAAAGAAAAGAAAGGTGAGATTCAGGGGCAGCATAGCTGGGCTCAGAAATAACATGTTTCTTTCTTCATTCCTATGTTTTATTCTGCTTGCAGCAATCCAGCACCCAAATGGATAGCAATTATGCAACAAATGCCAATACTAAGTGAATGTACTGGCACTGTTCACAAGGGCATAATAACCATGTGGCTATATATCATAAATCATACAGAAAGCTTTAGGAAACTGCTCTAATATATTCACCTAAAAATATTCTTTATACACAGCTTAAAAAAAAAAATACCTGGGAAATGAGGTATAATTTCACCATCTAACTTGTAAGCAACTCCAACTTTAATTTCTGTAAACGTGTCCAAAATATCCAATTTGGTAAGTGCCAACCTAATTTTGAGAGAAAAGACAATGTTAAAACAGCAAATTCTTAAAGGCTCTAACATCTAACATGATGAGGGATAAAGGAAAATTCATACAAAGCTAAGAAGCTCCAGCCAGTGTGGCTCAGTGGTTGAGTGTCCACCCATGAACCAGAGGTCAGGGTGTGATTCCCAATCAGGGCACATACCCGGGCTGCAGGTTGGATCCCCAGTGTGAAAGAAATATGCAAGAGGCAGCCAATCAATGATTCTTTCATCATTGATGTTTCTATCTCTCTCTTCCTCTCTAAAATTAATAAAAACATATATTTTTTTTAAAAAAAGCTAAAAGCTCCAAAGCAATTCTGAAAACTAATTAGGAATTTGTTTTAAAATATGATACACATAAAACACAACAGGACAACATACTGATGAATTCTCATAATTAAAAAAAAATGACTTAATTGCCAAAACCGGTTTAGCTCAGTGGATAGAGCGTCAGCCTGCAAACTCAAGGGTCCCAGATTCAATTCCAATCAGGGACATGTATCTTGGTTGCGGGCACATCCCCAGTGGGGGGTTTGCAGGAGGCGGCTGATTGATGTGTCCCTCTCATTGAGGTTTCTAGCTCTCTATCCCTCTCCCTTCCTCTCTGTAAAAAGTCAATAAAATATTTTTTTTAATGACTTAATTAAGCTACTAGTGTAAGTTACTCGTCTTATAATGAAAACAGATTTTCACTGATTCACCCACACCCTCTTGTTTAGCTTTCTTATGATCACCACATATTTGTGGGCCGGCTGTCTGGGGCACGGGACACATTCTGAGGCCGTGGAACAGCGGGCCTCACTGTCCCACAGGGCTGACCACAAGATCCATGCATATTCACACCTATGCCAGCAGCCCTCATTTCCTCACTCTGATGCAGTCCCCTCCACCCCTCTGTCAAAGGAGGCTGAGGAAAACACATCAAGAGTTTCTGACACATCAACTCTCCCTACCCCCCCCCCCCCCCAAAAAAACAAAAAACGGAAAACAGAGCTTTAAGGGGAAATTTGTGGAAATTAGATACAACACCAGGTTTGGGCAGGCAATACTATTATCTAGATGATTATAAAGAAAAACAGATCCTGACCAGTTTTGCTCAGTGGATAGAGCATCAGCCTGCGGACTGAAGGGTCCCAGGTTTGATTCCGGTCAAGGGCATGTACCTTGGTTGCAGGCACTTCCCCAGTAGGGGGTGTGCAGGAGGCAGCTGATTGATGTTTCTATCTCTCTTCTTTCCTCTCTGTAAAAAAAAAACAAACAAAACAAAACAAAAAAAAAATAAAATATAAAATATAAAATAAAATAAAAAGAAAGAAAAAGAAAAAAAGGCACAGAAGAAATAATGTGCCCAAGGTCACACAGCACAATGCACAGATCTGAAGTTTAAATCCAAAAGTCAGACGTCAATCAAGCCCATGCACAAAATCACTGTGGTATATCCTCCGCTAAGTATCTATACTCCGCCCTTGCACTCCTTACTATCTACTCACCTACCCACCTGCACGTCCTCGGTACTATACCCACGTAAGAGTACGATTCTTTCCTTCCAACCTTGGACATCTAAGGAAGATCGCGTGGGGTCCCTCTCCTTGCTTCCCTTCTCTTATATGTTGGTCCACTTCTACCTTGAACTAAAACTTCACAGGTTAAAGAGAGAATCTTGTGTATTGGGGTATTGCCTCAAGTTTGCATTTCGAAAATTTAACCTGTGGTCATGAATTATCCCATTATAATATTTCCTGAAATGAATGTTTCTAAGAAAACTCACGCAGTAAATCCGTTAATCATATGAGCATATTTAAGCAACACGAGATCCAACCAGCCACATCTTCTTTTCCTTCCAGTAGTCACACCAACCTCTCTACCCCGTGTCTGCAATAATTCTCCAATTTCCTAGGGGACAGAAAACAGAGCTTCATAATTAGGATACCACTGCTGTCCATCTAGAACAATTATACTTAAGGTCAGATAACAAGTTAGAGTCTCTTTGAGATAAATATCTTCCAGAAAATAACTAAATTGAAGACAGAATTCTATAGAGATGATGGATTTTATACGAAGGAGGCATTACTTGGAATAGATCCAATTTTGGCTTCATTTTTCATCTTATTTTACTTTATTTATTTTTTCATCTTATTATAAAACCAATATTTTTTTATGATGTCATATAGATCACTTCCCAAGATTTAGGTTAATATATAAAAAATATAAATGCTGCATTGGTATATTACAACAAGCCAAGACCTAGCTGGTTGGCTCAGTGGATAGGGCGTCAGTCTGCAGACTGAAGGGTCTGAAGTTTTGATTCCAGTCAAGAGCACATGCCTGGGTTGTGGGCTCAATCCCCAATGGGGGGCTTGCAGGAGGCAGCCAATCAATGATTCTCTCTCATCATTGATGTTTCTCTCTCTCTCTCCCTTCCTCTCTGAAATCAATAAAAATATATTTTTAAAAAACAAGCCAATTGTCCAAAGAACAACTATAGCCTGATGATTTTCCTGAAAACCATAAGGCAGCAAACTTGCATCTAATAAGTACTTGCTGATGGCACAATGCTCTTTTGAAGAGAATTAAGGTTGAAAACAATGCTCAAAGATCTAAGTTACACTTCCTATAACTTACCTTTCCCATCTCTGATCACTCTATTCCATAATGTACACCTTTCTGGTAAGAGCCATCATTTGTTACCTCTTATATTTTGACATTACTACAGTTATATATTTTTAAGATGTTTGCTCTGTCATGTTGGATTCCCAGCCCTGTTTGCGTGGCCTGGGGCAAGTTACTTTAGTCCTCTGTGCCTCAGTTTCCTACTTTGTACAATGGGGAAGGAGGTATTATGAGGATCCAAAGAGCTTATAGGCATAGAGCACTTAGCAGTGCCTGGCCCAGGTCACCCCCATGCAAGCGTTGGCTATGAGCAGACAATGCCAGGAGATCACTGGGTGAAAGGCGGTTGTCATTTTAACAACTTCTTCCGCCTCCCCTATCTCAACGCCCTTCATAACCCCGCCTTCCTTCAGCCTCGCAATGACAACGCCTTTAAGTGCCCTCTAATCCCTCCTTTTTTGCTGCCATTAACGATAAATGTGTGCATACATTTTTTATAATGTTGTTCTGATCAGTCTTGCAAATTAAATGAAATGCATGGAAAGTAAGAATTCACTAAGGGAAAAAAGCATGAATTTCTCTTATAAAACTTTCGAATTAGATTCTCTGAGAAAGAGGCTTACGTTGCTTTGCTCTGTAGGAAAGGCACCGATACCAACTCGAGTCGTGTAAGCTTTCACCACCCCGTACACTTCTCCAACGTTCTGAGGGGGCATACCCAATCCGGTGCAAACACCTCCAACTGTACAGTTCGAGGAGGTCACAAAGGGATAAGTTCCTAAAAAGAGAAACAAATATTAAATATACACACATGGGTACAAATTCTTTTAAAACAGAATTGCTATGAAGATTCTGCACTGGATTATACTCTTAGGTCTTTGACAGACTTGAATCTAGCTGTAACCACTCTCCCAAAGCCTCAGTGTTTTGGTCCTGAGTCCTCTGACTGTAGTGAGATAAAAGCATAGATCAGAGCTATGCCTGTAGCGCGTACACTGGAGTGGCTCCGTGGCGCATGCGCTTACTCAGCTCTGGAGGGTAGATACTCACCTAACGGACCGCTAAATAATGCAATGCCAAAAGCCTGGTGTTAATCTACCATGTGGACTTATAATCGATGTTACTTGGGCACTCTCCTTTTGGTTTAAAACAGATTTATTTTACTCCCTTTATTAAATAGGGTACAGCAGCAACCTGCAGTGACAACAGTAGAAAAACTATATGGCATTTTAGCATTTCTCCCTCTTTTGATGTCTATTCCAGGAATAATTCCAGAAATGACAAGAGTAAGCCAAGGGTGGAATGCCCCCAACCCAAGATCCTCTTCATACTTAAAATTATTCACTCTGCTAATTAGACAATCTGTTTTCTTTCCAGACTGGAGAGGCCAGTGGTCGGCAAACTCATTAGTCAACAGAGCCAAGTATCAAGAGTACAACGATTGAAATTTCTTTTGAGAGCCAAATTTTTTAAACTTAAACTTCTTCTAACGCTGTTTCTTCAATAGACTCGCCCAGGCCGTGGTATTTTGTGGAAGAGCCATACTCAAGGGGCCAAAGAGCCACATGTGGCTCGAGAGCAGCAGTTTGCCAACCACAGTTCCAAAGCATTCATCTGATCATCTTACAGTCCTACGGAAGTGAGGTCTGGAATTGAACCATGAACCAAATAATAAATTCAGTTTACAGAATTTCAAATCTTACTGACCCAAATATTAATTTGACTTTTCTAATAAACAACAAAACTTGTATTGTGTTTTCCACGGTAATCCTTAAAAAAATAAAAAAGATTAGCATAAGATCTTCAACCACTCTTGAATCTGTACACAAGCTAACAGCCCTGTTTTAAAACCCCTTAATGCTAACATGAATTATTTATATCTTAAGCACTTTAGGGCTCAGTCTTGCTCCCCATAAGTCATATCTCACTTACCAAAATCGATATCCAGAAGTGCTGCATTTGCACCTTCTACCAAGATTTTCTTTGGTGGTCCATGTAGGGCCTCATATAGAAAATACACTCCATCTCTCACCATTGGTTTAATTCTTTCCATATAACCCTATATACAAAGACAAAAACCAATTTCAATGTACACTAATACATTTACAATATGAGTGAAAATTCCTTGACTTGCCCTAACCAATTTGGCTCAGTGGATAGAGCGTCGACCTGTGGACTGAAGGGTCCCAGGTTCAATTCCGGTCAAGGGCATGTACCTTGGTTGCGCGCACATCCCCAGTGCGAGGTGTACAGGAGGCAGCTGATCGATGTTTCTCTCTCATCAATATTTCTAACCCTCTATCCCTCTCCCTTCCTCTCTGTAAAAAAACACAAGAAAAAATTTTATTTTTAATTCCTTGACTTGACAACAGTGGAAACTGACAAAGGCCAAGTAGAAAGGGGCAGGTGATGGTGCCCATCCTACCGCAGCACTGGGGTTACCCTGGACTCTCGTGCTGAACCCCAGGACCAGGAGAGAGACACCTGCTCAACAGCAGCAGAGATACAATGACATTCAAAGCTAACCTCACTGCAAATAAGGTGACAGCTTCTGAGCAGCCAAGTACTCACAATTCATAAACCAGCTTTCAAGAAAATGAAAACAATAAGAGTATATTACATTGCGATTTTATATTTTGTGAAGTATTTAATAATCTGTAAGCCATGTAACCATGAGTTTTAAAACTGGCATCTCAAAATGTGATTCTCAAAATGTGGTGAGGGCCACCAGTGACACTGCCAAGCATACAAACATCAATAATTGATTGCTAATGTCCTTCTTCCATTAGATTCCATTCCAGTACAATCTCAGTGGTATTAGTAGTAGATAATATCCAGCACTATTTTACACGTGAGCATTATAAAACTTTCTCAAATCATATTTATGTTAATAATACTGCTTAATTTTAGAATTCCATTAAAAATGTAGTATCAACAAGAGTTGCCCCACTGCCTATGGTATAAAGTATAACTGCAATAAAACCTAGTTTCAACTATGTTAAATATTTAGCAAGGCTAGTATGGAAGTTCCAACTTCCATTCATGAATTCACCAAAGTGCGCTCTATCCACTGCTGAAAAATCATGGTCCCTCTTCTTGGCTCTAGTCTCCAATCTCATGCTCATTCCTGTTTTAGTCCTTTTTATAATGCCTAAAATGACCAACCCATCGTCACATCCCTTGTTCCTTAAAGACCTGGTTCAACATATATTACCTATGAAGAACCTTCTTACTCAATTCTGTTCATTATATTCATCTACTTTTCATTCACATGGAATGTGTATAAAATAGAATTAAAAAGCCATATCCATACTTTAGTACATAAATATTTCCAAGTTGCTAATAATGCATAAACGCCATGTCAGGCTGGGTGCTTAACACGTTAAAACAATTGTTGTATGGCAGAATTGAAAGGAAATGGCGATCTCATCTAAGCAGCCATCAGTACACTGAAATCCAATTTAGACTGTTCCTTGGAGGTCTTTTATTTTTTAGGATTTTAGTAAGGGGAGAGATCTAAGGTCTGCAACCGTTTTAGAATGGCACATGAAGTTGGAAAGCTTCTATTCAGTTCTGGAGTGGATATTTATACTTATTTATAGAAGAGAAGGAATAACAGTCAGATACACAGGAAGCAGCTTGAAATTCACCAAGAATTGTGGAGGAATGGAGGGTGGAGCAGATAGGAGACTTGAATACTGACTAATTCAGGCACCACGGACAACTAACAGCTGCCAACTGGACCTAACCTTTGGCCAATTACCCTACTGGTCTCTGAAGAGATTGTCGCTGTCCGTTATCACTTCTAAAGGAGCTGGTTAGTTTCCAGAGCTGTCTACTTGTCCCTTTGTTCATGAGCCTCCACATTGCTATGAGTGATTTTATATAACAGAAATCATCTTTATTCAGCACAAAATTATTCAGTAGTTTTTCATTATCTCCAGAATAATAGCTTATCTCCCATTTAAGTCCTTGGCCAAAGCCACATAAGAAAATATAAGATCTACGATTTGGTTCCTACTTGTCTAACTTTATTTTCAGGTAGTTTACCCCTATTCTCTGTTCCCCACTCAATATTTTGTTTCATGTCCTATGTTACTCAAACATACCATTCTTTTTAGCCCGCATGCTTTTAGGTTTAAAAAGGGCAAACACTTTGCTTTCCCAGTTTTTATCTATAATACTTCACACATATCTGTGTGGCACTTATTATACTACAAACTATTTTATGTATAACTTCTAAGTCTCCATATATTCTTCATCCTTATATTTCCAGTCCCTAACACAAAACCTGAATGAATGAAAGTTCTAGATACCAATTTGGCAAACAGGTTTTTAAAAGGACATTAAAAAGGTCAGAAAGCATTACCTTGAGCTTTTGTAATTCACCTTCGATGTCTATTTCCAAAGTAGGGTATATAGATTTGTACTGGTTTGCCAGAACTTTGAACCTGAGAAATATAGAAAAATCAAGACATTGGCTCTCTTTCAAATATTCTGAGTAATATCATTTTATTCAAATGGTTCCTGTCAAGGAGTGATCTAACAAATTAACCCTCAAAATGAAGTATGTTCTGAAAAATAAAATCTAATAAAGGAAATTAGTCATATGAATAAATGATACACTCATAAGATTTTTTACTCAAGTTTAGGTATGTGTAGGGGGGAAAATAGCTGAAATCTGTAACTATAAGACTTATATCTGAATTAATTATATTACACTGTGTTTAAAACAAAAGTGACTGAATGATTGAGCATTGACCTATGAATCAGGTGGTCAAGGTTCGATTCCTGGTCAGGGCACATGCCCAGGTCGTGGGCTCCATCCCCAGCAGAGAGCATGCAGGAGGCAGACAATCAATGTTCCTCTCTCATCACTGATGTTTCTATCTTTCTCTCCCAATCAATAAAAATATATTTTAAAAGTAAACAAAATAAAACAGAAGGGATGGTCTACAGGACACTTTTAAAAGAGAAGGAGGCAGACATTATCAATCAGCCTCTAATATCCCCGGTGGAGATGCACTGAGAGTGCAGACAAACCACTGTCTGGAAATTATGCCTCTGATGTCACCTGTCATTAAATGCAACCAAGTAACCCCCATCCCGGAACCACCCTCTGGCTTTCCTTAGACATAATTCTGGTTTCGTCTTCTTGGGAGTGCTGCTAGGATAGCATCATGTCACTTTTCACAAAGTTCATCTGAAATTAAGGCCCAACGAAAATGCAATAAAAAGGACTTTAATAATACTCTAGATAAAACAAACATGCCAGCCACTGTCCAAGTAGCATACTGATTTTACCAGTCTGCAATCTGAGTTTTTTAAAAATCCTCCCATTCCATTTGCTCTTCCCATGGTGAAGCCCAAGGCAGTTACCTCTCAGAGAAGCCGTCGAAATCGGAAACGAGGTCGCACATCCTGAGGCCGCTCCGAGCAGCTTTGGAAGAATATACGGGGCCTATGCCCTTTTTGGTGGTCCCCAAACTTCAAAATAAACCCAAACAAGCTTTCAGTTAGACAAGATGCAATTCTTACGGCCAGGCGGACTGTTTTCTGTGTATACTATTTCCTGTAAGTTTCTTTTCACAATTCTATTGATGTTCTCTGAAATCTAAACTATTTTTCTCCAACCTACATTTATATTATATAAAAGCTTAAAGGGAACCTGCACAGTTGGCCTAGAAATTAAGCATAAGGGTGTGGATATGCTTCAGCTGCACCAAGAACAAAAAAACAAAGAAAAAAACCATACTTCTTTCCTGCTTGTTCTTGTCTCTGCTGCTCCTGGATGCCATCAGCTGCTTGATGAAAATCAAACACTGTAGGGAAACAAAAACAAGAGCAGTTTTGTTGAAGCAAAGATGACACAGGAAAGCAAAACAGATTGTATTTTAAATGACCGAGGCTATAAATCCCTTCAGTCCAACTTCATTATGAGAAATGAGGTTCATTTTAAGAAGCAACAATAATGGTGGGGGTAAAGGTTCCAACGCCAACTGGTATGTTAATATAAAAATATGTCTGATCGTCCATTCCTATTTATTGCAATCTATATGATTTTAAAAAGGAGGGTTATTTTAGAACACCCTACCCAATAATTCTATGAAACTCAGATTACTAAGGTATCTTCTTTTCGTCAAGTTCTGGACTGCAGAAATCTAGGGATTATTTTGACATCTCCCTCTCCCTCACTAGTCCCAATCCTCCCTCATCTTTCACCAAAACTGTGGCCTCCTAGTGAGTGTGCCTATTTCCTCTGGGACACCTCTAATTCGTAATTTTTATATAGCCAAAGCCAGCTTTCCAAGACACAGATATGGTATCACCATTCCTTTGCCTTAATAATTCAATGGCTGAAAAAATGATATATCTGATAAAAGTTTAACATCTAAAATATACAGAGAATAAAAAACTTTTTAAAGAAAAATATATAAAGAACTCTTACAACTCAAAAGCAGAAAAATAAACAATCTGGTTAAAAACTGGGCTGAAGACCTGAATAGACATATCTCTAAACAAGACACCAGTGGCCCATAGACGTATAAAAAGATGTTTAGCGTCACTGATCATCAGGAAAATGCAAATCAAAGCCACGTGTGCTATCACCTCACACCTGTTAGAATGACCATCACCAAAAAGGCAACAAATACCAAGTGCTGGGGAGGACTGGAGATAAGGGGACCTGGCCAGTTGGAGGGAATGTAACTTGGTGCAGCCACTATGGAAAACAATACAAAGGTTCCTCAAAAAATTAAACACAGAACTACCATATGACCCAGCAATTCTACTTCTGGGCATTTATCTGAAAAAAAAAAAATATTAAAAAACACTAATTCAAAATGATATATGCACCCTACGTTCATTGCAGCATTATTTACAACTGCCAAGATACAGAAGCAAGCGAGGTGCCTACCAACAGAAGAATGAATGGATAGAGGATGTGGTATATGTATGCAATGGAATATGACTCAGCCATAAAAAAGAATAAAATCTTACCAGCTGCAACAACATGACTGGACCTAGAGTGTATTATTCTAAGTGAAGTAAGTCAGGCAGCGAAAGACAAATATCATGACTGCATTTTTATGTGGAATCTGAAGGTCAAAATAAGCAAGCAAGCCAAACAAAACAGAAAGAGACACACAGACCAAACTGACGGCTGGCAGAGGGGATAGGTGAAAAGGTAAGGGAGATTAGGTGTAAATTTCCAGTTATAAAATTAAGTCACGGGGACGTGATGTACTGCATAGAGATTAAAGTCACAATATTGTAATAACTGTACGGTGACAGAGGTTATTAAATTTGTCATGGTAATCACTTCATAAGTTATAAAGATGTTGAATCACTATGTACAAATCTGAAACAATCTAATATTGTACGCCAACTATACTTTAATAAAAAAAATTTTTCAAAACAAAAAAAGTGTGAAATTTATTTGTTATTTTTAATACATTTTTATTGGGTTTCAGAGAGGAAGGAAGAGGGAGAGAGAGACAGAAACATCAGTGATGACAGAGAATCATTGAGTGGCTGCTTCCTGCATGCCCCACACTGAAGCACAAAACCGAGGCCTGTCCCCTGGCTGGGAATTGAGCCATAACCTCCTGGTTCGTAAATCGATGTTCAACCTCTAAGCCACAGCAGACAGGCTAAAATAACACATGTTAAAGCATACATGTACAGGGTGGAATAAAAGAGGTTTACAGTTGTGAGTACACGAAACACATAGTTTATTCTTGTATTATTATCAATAATTATATTTTTCTATATGGGCAACTGTAAACCTACTTTTGCCCCACCCTGTATAATTATGCTAACATCTAAATTTTAGTCTGAACTTTCCTCCTCTACCAGGAAACCTTTGCTTTAAGGATGTACATTTATAAAAAAGAAAAAAAATCATTACTAGAGAAACATAATAAAAATATAAAATGAATTCGCATCTAAACCACATTACTTTCCAATTACTCAGTTCCTTTGGTGCCTTTGCATTACTATTCTTTGTTTTTTGTAGTCTACAGTAGTTAAAGTAACTTGCTTAGCCATGTGTTTACACCCAAGGATACACACTGTCACGTGACACACCCAGAACATTTGTCACGAGGGGGGAAGGCGGAGAATCCAGGCAGGGATACAAGTCTCTCCTAACACAGGTGACATCGCCAGCATGCTTGTATGACTACCCATGGCCGAACTATCTGGTTACATACGTTAAGGTTATAATTCACTCAAAGGTCACACACTAGGAATCATCCTAGTGTGTAATCTAAATGGTGGCTCTCAGCTTCAGACACTGCATTCCACAGGGCCAGGGACCAGGAGAAAGTTCTGAAGAGAAGCAGTGGCTTCCATCTCTCAACACAGGACAGAGGCAATGAACACAGGACGCTACATGTAAAACCCATGAAGCCAACGATGGGAAGAAGTTAACGATGATGTAACAAAATATTCATGACATCAGAATACGTACAAGGTAATAATTAGTAAGTGTGAGCAGATAAAAATAAAGTAATGCACAAGAATACATTTTTCATTATCTAAGAGACTGTCAGTATAAAAAAATATTAATAACACTACATTGCTTTCTATTTTAAAGCATTCTAGTGATGACATATGAAAGTATAAAACAAAATTACTAAGATAAGCTAATAACCAAAAGAATATGTTTTATATAGGTGACAGCTGAGATTATGATTTTTTTTTTTTAAACCAGAAGCTTACAATAGCCAACAAAAATGACAGATTTACAGCTTCACTGCTTCCGTCCAAAGGGTTTTAATTTGCTTTCTTGGCTGACACTTTAAGAACTTTGATCGGGCTGCCTCTTAAACGAAGGTCAATGTTCAAACTAGAGCAGCATCTGCCTCAGGAGAACTACAGATTCAGGTAGAATTGAAGAGTTCAATCACTCATATAAGTTTCTTACATGGCTTACAGCTCTTCTTTCTCTTTCCTGGCTACTATCTCTTAATGGTGTCACCATTAATAAACAATTCTATCACTTCAGCAATAGGATGATAGGAAGACAAACCTCAAATTTATTGGTGGTGGCTGAATTAATTTTAGGATCCAGTTTGCTTTAAGTAATGGAAGGGAAGGCTAGTCTGAATAAAGGCTGGATCCTTTAAAAAGCAGCATTATTACAATTGAGACGCCAAAAGTCACTCGATTTGCCAGATGGTAAATCCACTTTTATATGTGTAGAAATAAATGCTCTCGAGATTTTGACATGCCGGATTTTTTTGTAGTTAGACAGTCTCATGAAATATTGCTTATATTATTCATTTGACTAGCTTCAGAAATATTATATTATTCATTTGACTAGCTTCCTTCAGAAATAGGCAAATTTTAGCCTATCCTTTATAAATAAAAAGAAGAAAAAATTAATAAGACTTTATGTATTTGAAGCCCAATTATTACAATCCACCCAATGAAAGACAAAGTTGGTTACAGAATGCTTTTGATGATGAGTTTCCGGGAAAAGGAGAGTTAAAAATAAATGCATTATGCTTACGTCCTCCTTACCAATGTGGGCTCTGTCAGAGATGATAAGCCTTTTTTCCCAGCCTTCCAGACCTAGAAGGAAAGGGGGAAATACATTGAACTGAACACTTTGTATAATAATTCTCTCATTTTAATTTCTTTCGAAACAGTGTTTAAAAGTGTTTTTCCACTGAAGTAATCACTTTCATAGCTTTTCTCCTGCATAGGAAACATGTTTAACGAGAATTTTCTCACCTGTCATTCATTACATATACAAGCTCATTCACACATGCTTTCTAAATGTTTTGCTCATAAAAGCTCCAAACACAGCCAGCTCTATCCACATAAAACACTTCTAGGAACCCAAATAGCAAATGGTAAAAAAAAAAAAATGACATATTTGTAGGAGTTGCGGGGAGAGGAGGTGGTTGTAGAATAGGAGGAGAATTCGAGTAAAGGGAGTTGCTAATCTTGGGAATGGCACCCTTTCCCAAGACAATTATAAAAAATGTGATTAAACAAAATAACAGAATGTTCTCACTAATCCCTTCAAAGTATTACAATTACTCTACTTAGTACAGCGAGCTGTAAATATGCCTCCCCATCCAACTGTGAATGCCTGCAAGCAGGGGCCATGTGGTTTTATAACATGGACCAGTCATCCAATAAATGTTCAAAAAATCGTTGAGTGAGTAGGTAAATGAAGGTAAATAAATATTTTTTTAACATTTTTATTTCAGAGAGGAAGGGAGAGGGAGAGGGAGAGATAGAAACATTAAGGATGAGAGAACCGAGGATCCAAGATGGCTGCATGGGTAAACACCTAACCACAGCCACACACAACAATTTCAATAAAATACAACTAAAATATAAAATGGACATTGCACAGAGCAACAGGAAGTCGACTGACTGAAAATTCTACAACAAGAAGGAAAGAGAAAACCAGAAGGAAAATCAGAGAAGCTGTAAAAGCCTAAGGTACGGAGACATGCTATACGCGCGGGCGGAGAGGATGGAGCCGGAAAGGAGGGGGAGGCCGAGTACCTGGCTGGTGTTCCCTAGCAGGAAGGAAATAAAAGCTCCAGACTGGGCTGAACCCCAGTCCGACAGCGCTGAACCCCAGTTCTAGGCCAGACCCTGGAGACCCAGGCTCAAAAAGAGGGAGACGGGGCTGCGAGGCAGAATCCCAGGGGAGCGGCGAAAGGCAGAGCCCCCGGGGTCGCGCACATTGCTCGCAGAGGACGGAATGTTGACTCTGATGCTAGACTGCCCTAGCGGGAAGGAAACAAAAGCTCCGGCTGTGCTGAGCCCAGTTCCGACTGCTCTGAACCCCAGTTCTAGGGCAGAACCTGGGGACCCAGGCTTAAAGAGAGGGAACCTGGGCTGTGAGGCGGAATCCCAGGGGAGCGGTGAAAAGCAGGGCCCCCGGAGTCATGCACATTGCACGCAAAGGACGGTCTGTTGACTCTGATGCTAGACTGCCCTAGCGGGAAGGAGACAAAAGCTCCAGACTGGGAAGAACGCAATGAGAAGCGGGAGCCGCCGCGGGCATCGGCAAGCCGGGCGCCGGCAAGGAGCCGGGTGACAGGGCCCCCTGGGGGGAAGTGCCCTGGGCCCTCGACCACTGATTGCTGGCCACAAAGCCGAGGCCGGGGGCTGCTTCCTGGGCAGCGCCAACCCCGGCAACAGGCTGAAGCCGCCCAGGAGACTGCGGAGAACAAAGGGACGCCACAGGCCAGCTTACTGGGCTTCAGGACGAGGAAGAAGAAACGGAAGAAGTTTTCAATGTGAAGAAATCAAGTTATAGCAAAAGATAGTAAAATTACTTAAGAAAGAATATAAAGAAGATCTTGAAAAATCGAAGATTAAGACAGAACTCAACTCAGCAGCCAACATTGCAACATAAATGCGTTTAAAAAAAAAAGACAGAATGTTGGAGCAGCGGTGGCCAGGCCCAGAGTGGCCAGGCCAAGGGCAGTGGCAGCCGGGCCCGGAGCAACAGCAGCCAGGCCCTGGAGCAGCAGCAGCCGGACCCAAAGCAGTAGCAGCCAGGCCCAGAGCAGCCAGGCCTGGGGCGGAGGCGGCCAAGCCCAGGGTGGCCAGGCCCGGAGCAGCCAGACCCGGAGCAGCTGGGCCCATAGCAGCCAGGCCCAGAGAGGCCAGTCCGGGAGCGGCCAGGCCCAGAGCAGCCGGGTCAGGAGCATCCAGGCCTAGAGCAGCAGCAGCCAGGCCCGGAGCAGCCGGGTCCGGAGCAGCAGCATACAGGCCCGGAGCAGGAACAAACAGGCGGGGAGCGGCCGGGCCCGGAGCAGCCAGGCCCAGAGCAGCCGGGTCGGGAGCAGCCAGGCCTAGAGCAGCAGCAGCCAGGCCCAGAGCAGCCGGGTCGGGAGCAGCAGCATACAGGCCCGGAGCAGCAGCAACTGGGCCCCAAGCAACAGCTGCCACACCCAGAGAAGCTGGTTGTGGAGCGGACCGGAGCAACAGAGGCCAGGCCCGGAGCAGCCAGGCCAGGAACAGCTCGTTCCTCACCTGCCCATGCCCCAGGGCTGCTTCTCAGACATGGCTGGAAACTTTTGGGGCAACCTGAGGGTCTGCTGAATCAAGTGATGAAGGCTTAGATCTGGATGTGTTGAGTTATGGTAGCACTGGGGTATTGATCTGTGAGTGCCTTGTGTGGGGTCTGGATGAGGTTGGTTGATCTATTTGGAAGTGTCTTTTATGAAGTGTATCCTTGGGCATGTGGAGGTATTATTGATTTGAGAAAATGCTAAGTAACTGATTTACTACCTAAAAAATTTAAAGTTCTGAAAGTTTAAGGTCTCTTGCCAAAAAGAGGTTTTAAAGCTAACACCTTAATTTTAATGGAGAAATGGAGGACAAGCCCTTCCCACCCAGAACAGGTAATCCAATTCCAGCCAGCAGCCATCTTTAAACAATGTGTTAATTTACACTCGAATGGCTACGGCCTTTTGATAGCCTAAGGGCAAGTTTACATGTAAACAAGTTTGCTTCTCAGTTTCCAGGGCAGAAAAAACAAGGTTTAAAATTATTAGATTTTAAAAGTTATTCTTAAAAATATAAAAGTTTATTAATTAAAAAAAAAACAAACAAGGAAATTAAAAAACCTGATGAACAATATTAACTGTTGATTATAATAGAATCAGAGATACGGGAGGGGAGTGGAATGACAATTCGGGGTGGGGGGGGGGAATGGTGGATGCAAGAAGAGACTGAACATAAACTGTGCACCTATGGATGAGGATAATGGAGGATAATGGGGGTGGGGAAAGGGCAGAGGGTGGGTTGGGAACCTGGTGGAGTGGGGAAGAAATGAGAAACCTTTGTAATAATACGAACAATAAAGATTGATTAAAAAAAAAAAAAAAAGGATGAGAGAACCATTGATCGATTGCCTCCTGCATGTCCCACGCTGGGGATAGAGCTTACAACCCAGTCATGTGCCCTGACCAGGAATCAAACCGTGACTTCCTGGTTTATAGTGACACTCATCCACTGAGCCACATTGGCTGGGCAATAAATATGTATTTTTAAAGACAGTACACCTTTGTAAGCTATATTCGTTAAAACACCATACCCCCAACATTTCCAAAACTTGTGTTAGATATTAAAAATTATTCATTTTTATAATATCTAAGGATTTATTTTAAAAATTATTCCTTATAGATTAGATGGAAGGACTTCTTGATAATGTGCTATAAGTCATGATAGAAAACCTTCCCCCTTTCCAGCTGGTTTTGACATGAAAATATGCACTCTGAAGTTAGCTCAAGGAGCATTACAAAACATGCATTACAAAGAAACTCAGCACCGGGGCTTCAGCCGGCTCAGACAGGCCGGAGGGAAAAGAAAGTAGGACGAAGCTTTCAGAGGATGGAGGAGAGCAGAGCAGCTGGGAGCCTCAGGCTGGCCGATGAAAGAGCTGGCCCCGATGCAAAGGCTAATGCCGCAGGGAGGGCAGCAAGACAGGGATCTGTGGAGCCCGACTGAGTGGTCAGAAACGCTGGAGGACGGATTGCTCCTTTTAAACCTGAACAATGAACTTGAAGGATGTAGCAGAACTGGGTATTTTCAATCCGAGCCAAGCGAAAGAGAAACTCACTAATGATTTCCCTCCACTGTCTATTCTTTGCATTGCCCAATTCCTCAAACCCTAGCGAGGGAGTCAAGTTGACTTCCAAAAATTCAAAAGGAATGAGGGAAGGCAGGAAATCAAGATTTTTTTAAAAAATATATATTTTAATGATTTTTTTACAGAGAGGAAGAGAGAGGGATAGAGAGTTAGAAACATCGATGAGAGAGAATCATCGATCAGCTGTCTCTTGCACACCCCCTACTAGGGATGTGCCCGCAACCAAGGTACATGCCCTTGACCGGAATTGACCCTGGGACCTTTCAGTCGGCAGGCTGACGCTCTATCCACTGAGCCACACCGGTTTCGGCTCAAGATTTTTTTAAGGAGACAGACGGATCCATAGCACAGAGGAGCATTTTTCTGGTCTGGAAGGAGGGACCTAACAGCCATCCTTTATCAATGGGTTGTGGCAACCACGGAGCTCTGAGCCAGGAAACAAGACTGGCAGTGTGTGCACTGCACTTCTGTGGTTCCTCACGCCCTAACTCACTTTTGGTTCATGCAGAAGGATATGCCAACCTGAGCATAAACGACAAGGTGAACTCATAGATCTCCCAGAGCTTCGCCAACAAGATACAGTAAGTAGTGTTAGCTCCCTAAAGATCAAGTTGAATCTGTAAAGTGACCAAGACTTACACAATGACCTTATTATGTTTGTCTCTTGATTAAATACGGATTAGAATTGATAACGTTTAACGAAGGACATTAAACAACTTGTCCTCAATAACCTGCAATTTTAAAGTACAAGACAAAAACGTGAAGTGCCTGGCTTAGCCGGCGTGGCTCAGTGGTTGAGCACTGACCTATGAACCAGGATACCACGGTTCAATTCCTGGTCAGGCCACATGCCCAGGTTTAAGACCCAATGTGGGGTGTGCAAGGGGAAGCCAATCAGTGATTCTCCCTCATCACTGATGTTTCTCTCTCTCCTCTCTCCCTCTCCCTTCCTCTCTGGAATCAATAAAAATATATTTTAAAAATATAAATAAATAGATAAATATTAAGTGGCTGGCGTGAGATCCAAATAAAACTTTACCAAAAATAATAATTAATACTAGCTGGTTACTAAGCAAAGCAGACTCATTCTTTCATACCTTTTCCTTTTTTAACATTTTTTTCTGCTTCCTCAAATAATCCCGGTAGATGAATTACCACACCATTTCCTAAAGGAAAATAAACAAATTAGTCCCAACCTTAAACATCTACACTTTATTAATACAGACACACATAATGATATTAAAATAGAGACATCTACAATTACCCTTTATCTAGAGGATAGGAGATTGAGGGACTTGACTTTACAGGATATTCTGATTTATCAAAATGTTATCACAGAGAGGATTCCAAGTTTTAGACAGTAGTATAATGTAAGTACACAAAAGAACATAAACACAGAACAAAAAAAACACTAAAATTACACTCAATATAATTTATAATTTCTTTGAAATAAAGTGAAACTTATTTTGAAACAAACTAGTTATGTAGTTTTAGGCAAATTAAACCAGATCAATGTCTTTCAAATTGGGAATCACACTATTACTATTAATAACATCAAGTTAGTGGGCTGTAATTAGCATTTTAAAAATAAAAAACTAGAACATATCAGATTGCACTATATGTTCTAAGGGCTAAGAATCAATTTATAAAACATAATACTTGTTTGCCTTATTGTGTCATGTTTGAAAAAATGATCAGATGACCTAATAGTTCTTTATAGAATTAAGATTACCAATGAACACAGTTAAATGCAAAGCAATCATTTCATAAAGTATTAGTGCTAAAAGATCTAAAAGGAATTGTAAAATAGCCAATGATTAATCAAGATTAATCATTTGATTAGTGAAGGATGAAATCAGTTTGATAATAAAAATTGAACACTGTTATGAATTGGGGAGGGGGGGGTCTTCAAAGGATTCATTCTATACTTACCAATGAATGCAGTAACATTTGGATTAATTATTCCACTGGGTAAAAGATGAAAATCATACTCCACGGAATCTACAACAACTGTGTGGCCGGCATTATTTCCTCCCTGAAACATATGATGGGAAAATGAACCTGACAATAATTATGACAAGTAATAGATCTCCTTCTGAAGGAAATTAATGATTTCCTGCTAAAATGTCACTATCACTTAAGGAAACCCAAGCATTTGTCACAAATACTAATTCTTTGGAGACTTTATAATAGCTTTGCTAACCTCTCTCCATCCCTCACTCCTGAATACTGGAGAATTCAGATTTCTGGAAGATGGGAAGACATGCCCTCTAAAAAGATTAAAAAAAAAAAAAAAAAAAAAAAAAAAAAAAAAAAAAAGAAAGAAAAGTCGTTTTTATTGTTTGGGACACTATGTAGGACACATAATAATCTAATTAATTATCCATGATATTCCAAAATAAAAATCCCTAAAATAGAAAAGGGTAATCCATACAGTTAGCCTAACTTGATGTAAATCCTATATAATAAAAGGCTAATATGCAAATTGACCAAACGGCAGAACGACCTGTCACTATGATATGCACTGACCACCAGGGGGCAGATGCTCAATGCAGGAGCTGCCCCCTGGTGGTCAGTGTGCTCCCAAAGGAGGAACACTGCTCAGCCAGAAGCTGGGCTCAAGGTTGGCAAGCACAGCAGTGGTGGCGGGATCCTCTCCTGCCTCCCGGCAGCACTAAGGATGTCTAACTGATGGCTTAGGCCCACTCACTGCAGGGAACAGGCGTAAGCTGTCAGTCAGATAGCCCCTAAGGGCTCCCAGACTTTGAGAGGGCACAGGCCTGGCTAAAAGGCACTCTGCCCCTCCAAGTGCACAAATTTTGTGCACCTGGCCTCTAATATTCATATAATTCCCATGGTCCTAAGAGTGTCAAACAACTTTGTAACCTGACATTTGCATTCTTACATGGACTTATCAACTAGCAAATCTCCCAAGTAACTACCTCAAATATTGGCTATCCTAAGACTCAAACTTTTAAATTTATAAATCATTCTTGTGAGTTTGGTTAGTAACAGAATCCTGGGATCTACTAATCTCTGGATAACGCAGTACACTAGGTCAAAGACCCTCTAAAGCTGGGAATCATACTGTCGACCCAGCGTGAAATATCCCCTCTGGGAACCTCAAGCTTAAACAGACAAGTAAAGCAAAATTGGAAGTCAAATGATAAAAATTAGGCACAAAGCAGGCAATATTAAGTGACCAGATAAATTTTCTAATTTCTAAGTTTAAAAAATGTGAGGAAACACAAATCAATTAATTATAGTTTTAAACTTCTATAAAATTTTTTTAAATTCCAAAGTAAACTACATACTAGGAATATATTTGCAACAAAAAGATTTGACATTTTCGTGGGGTATTATAAAAAAATACTCGTCAAAATATATCTCCAGAGTATGACTAGTCTAACTTGACCGCAAAACAATTTTGGCCAAAATGAATGTTATTTACATTTTATCAAATCCTTACCAATCATGAATTCAGAAAAACGGTCCTTCAAAAAAAGTAAATGCCTACTTACACTGTACAAAGCAAAGAATCCCTGTTTGAAGGCCACGTGTGTCATATGTGTTTAAAAACAAACGACTTGACAGTGGTGACCTATAGTCTACAAGATGACAGGTGGAAGGCAAGACACAGGAAGACAGAAGCAAAACCTCCCTCCCTGGATACCAAGGGCACAGGTGAATACTTCTTACTATTTATTTTTAACAGGAACCATCTGCATAGGCTACAGAGGCACAGAGGATGAGCAGTATTCCAGCCCGACCCTGCCCTTGTTCCCTGGACAAGGCAACCAGGTACCACAGGTTTTGCGTCCTCCCAGAGGTAATTTTGCATATACAAGCATATATTTATGTACTAGAGGCCCGGTGCACAAAATGCGTGCACGGGTAGGGTCCCTAAGCCTGGCTGGCGATCAGGGCCCATCAGGTTGCCACCTCCCCACCTCCTCCTTCTCTTGTTGCCCACGAACTGCCATCATGCAATTCCCCCCATCTCTCCCCTTCCCCTTCCCTTGCTCCCTCAACGCCCCACTGCTGCCACTGGTCACCTGCCATGTTCCACACCGTCCCCCTGGTGGTCAGCGCACATCATATCGAACTATCAAACTCCTGCTCTCCCAGTCAAACTTACAAGGGACCACTTTGTATATTAGCCTTTTAAATATATATATATATATATATATATATATATATATATATATATATATGAATGATTGTTTTATTCCATATTCTCAAATGTGAGCAAACTATATACACCTGAACGGCTTGCTTTTTTTGGAGCAATCTTAGAGCTAATTTCATAACTTTGTAAACAGAACTGTCTCATGCTGGAGGCTAATTCCAGCAGGTCATAAATGCAAGAAGTTTCATCAAGAGGTTGATGGGACCTTGAGGCTTCAGCAGGGCTGAATACATATTATTGCCTACTGGAATGGCCGAAGATCTGCATATATTATTGCCTGTTACCAGACAGCTGAGGGCATTTTAATCTACATGTTATTGCCTCCTGCTGGCCAAACACCAGACAGCTGAAGGCAGTTCCCCAAAACTGACAAAGTCTCTGTATGCTAAACCTTAGCCTTTGATATATATATCTGCTTTGCTTAGGGCAATTTGTGTTAATAAAGAGCTTAGGGAACTTGGTTCCTACAGCTAAGCTCCTCTGGCTCCCCCATGGATTACAAATTTATATTATATTTCTAGTCTCTTTATTAATTTACGCCACAGAGCCTCCTCCAGATTCCTGAACCTTTCTAGATGCCGGATATCACCCTGCAGTCTCATTCTTTTAACAGCAGCACTGTACCGTATTCCTTTTCATATGGACACATAATTCATTAAATTTGACTCATACAAGAGGCATTCAGGATGTTTGCAATCTTTTGTCATTTTGAATAATGTTACAGTACACTTCCCAGTACATACTTTATTATTTCACACTTGTGTAAGTTTATCACCAATAGTGATAGAAGACTCCTAAAGCAAGCATTACATACCAAAAGGACATACCGGTCTGTTCAATTTTTCTTTAGAGCCCAGAAAAATGCTAACTTGCTATTACAATTATTCAAGTCTCAATTATAAATCGCTAAATTTAATAAACGCTTACTAAATTGTTATAAAGTATTAGTAACTTTGAGACAATCAGTCAATGAAGCATTATTATATTATTTAAATTAAAACTAGCTTGCTATAAAAAAACAAACTACTCTTTAATTTTTGGAGTAGACCTTAAAAGTAAGCCTACTACTTTACACAAATCATTTGTACAGATATTAATACAATCATTTGGTGACACAGTGGCTAACTCAGTGGTTCACAGTGGTCATGTTGCACAACCAAAACCTACTCTCTGAGATAACATTGTACAAAACAGCAGCACTGATGGCACAACCACAGTGGAGAGATGATGCTGAAATGTGTGTGTTTGCGGAGGTTGGGTTTGCTGTGACAGATGACTTTGGGGGATAAACCGGTTTAATTCCTTCAGTTCTCCCAAGTTTACAGGTGGTGGTTTGGGCTGGAAAAGTTCAGCTGCACATGGCTTGAAATCATTTTTTTACGATATATTTTATTGATTTTTTAAAAAAATATATTTTATTGATATTTTACAGAGAGGAGGAAGGGAGAGAGATAGAGAGCTAGAAACGTCGATGAGAGAGAAACATCAACCAGCTGCCTCTTGCACATCCTCTACCAGGGATGTGCCCGCAACCAATATACATGCCCTTGACCGGAATCGAACCTGGGACCTTTCAGTCCGCAGACCGACGCTCTACCACTGAGCCAAACCGGTTTCAGCGATATATTTTATTGATTTTTTACAGAGAGGAAGAGAGAGGGGTAGAGAGTTAGAAACAACGATAAGAGAGAGTCATTGATCAGCTGCCTCCTGCACACCCCCCACTGGGGATGTGCCTGCAACCAAGGTACACGCCCTTGACCGAAATCGAACCTGGGACTTTTCAGTCCACAGGCTGACGCTCTACCCACTGAGCCAACCCAGTTTTGGCTGAAATCACATTTTAATTAACAGCTTGCTCACTCAAACATTAACCAACAGTTTTCAATAACCCATGTCTTATTAAGAATAACTATAAAGTCTTAATCTCATTCAAATTCTGCTTGAGTATGAAAATGTGGTTACATTTACCCCCGATTATCCTGGTAAGGAGCTAGGGGAGAAAGTGCCGGGCTGGTCAGATAAGTCTCCGTGGGCACAGAGCCCTGTGGGGTTGGTGGGTGTGGTAGCTTCTAACCAGGAGGCACAGGCTGTGCAGAAAAGGTGCTCAGAGGAGTGTGAGCTGCTCACAGGAGCTCCTGACAAGGTATCTACATGTATTATCAGTTAACAAGCCCACCAAGCTCTGACCTGCATGTACGTTCCCACGTTTGTGATGGAACTGCTTCTCACACGGGCAGCTCTATGTAGTGTGCACAGGCATATGTACATGGATATATCCATTTAATCGTGTCTAACAATTCTCCTTAATTAGCACTGGCCACACAATACTATACAAATGATAGGAGATCAGTATTTTTTTGTTCTGTTTTTAACAGAGATGTACTATTCCTGACTCATTCCAAAATTTCCCCCAGCCAAACTTGGTGAATTATCCCCAGATATAGAAGTAATCATACATTCATATGAATAGTTACTTGCAACAATCTCTTGCAGCTTTGCGATAGTCCCAAAGCTCTATGGTCCCAGTCCCTCGTGTAGCGTTTAACAAACACTTTTTTAATCAAGGCTGTGTTTTCTATGATTTAACTAAATTTGGCACAGAAAATGTTCAGTTAGCTGTTCTACAAGGAGGACCTCCATGGCTCTGAGGTTCAGTCCCCCTTCTTCCCATCCTTCCTCTTACTTTGCAAATCACCCCTCTGGCCCAGCCATTAGATCCAGCGGGAAACCTGACCCAGCCCGGGCCAATCCGGCTCCGCCCTCTTGGGCATTTGATTTGAGAAGATTAGAAGGCACTTAGGAGTTAGAGACAGCAGTCACCTAAGGGCACACCCTCAAGAGAA